TACATGGAGTTACCTCCCGGCTTCCAAACTGCAAAACCAAATCAAGCTTGCAGATTGTTGAGATCGTTGTATGGCCTGAAACAAGCAAGCATGCAATAGAACTCAAAACTGAATGCAGCATTACTAAGTCTTGGCTTCACTCAATCAAAGTCTGATCCATCCTTATTCACCAAAGGAGCTGGTATTGATTTCATTGCATTATTAGTATATGTCGATGATATCATCGTATCCAGTGCACAAATAGACTTGATTCGAGAGCTCAAGAAATTTCTTGATAGTACCTTCAGGATTAAAGACCTTGGCAGCTTGAGCTATTTTCTGGCCATCGAAGCAAAATATTCAGCTGAAGGATTAAACATATGTCAACGGAAGTATGCGCTGGAAATATTAGATGAGGCCGGCTTCCTTAGCTGCAAGCCTGCATGCACACCGATGGCACAAGGTTCAACTTTAGCTCATGATGATGGAATCGCCATTGACAATCCCAGTAGATACACAAGTTTGGTAGGCAGGCTGTTATACCTTACAGCCACGAGACCAAACATTACCTTCGCCATCCAACAGTTAAGTCAATTCATCGATTGTACTATGAACAAACATTTGGCAGCACCTCATAGAGTTCTACAATACATCAAAGCCTCCACTGGGCAAGGCTTTTTCTATACCAGTAATATAGTTCTGCAACTCCTAGTCTTCTGCGACTCAGATTGGGCTACATGTTATGAAACTCAGAAATCCATTACTGGTTACTGCTGTGTGTTTCTAGGAGGAGCATTGATTTCGTGGAAAGCCAAGAAGCAAGCTACGGTTTCAAAGTCGTCTTCAGAAGCAGAATACTGTGCTTTGGCTTCCACACTGTGCGAAGTCCAGTGTCACACTTACCTTCTCCATGATTTACAGGTCAAGATAGATAAACTAGCAACAATATTTTGTGGCAATCAATCCGCCATCGCAATAGGCGAAAATCCCATGTTCCAGGAACGCACCAAGCACATTGATATTGATTGTCACATCGTTCGTGAGAAATTATCTCAAAAGTTTATCAAACTTTTGTGTATCTCATCTTCAAATCAAGTAGCCGATGGATATACTAAAACTCTCTCTGCTCCGCTATTTTAGAGCTTCAAGTCTAAGCTGGGCACGCAAGACTTGCATACGCCAGCTTACGAGGGGGTATTAGACAATATTGCTCATGAGGCAGTAGCCAAGTCAGGGGTAGATTAGACTTTTCTCATCTAAGTTTAGTTGCAACAGATGTAACGGCTATTGCCGCCTAATCTTTCTACTATATATACTCCAAGCACCACCTTGTGATTGGTTCAATGAATTCAGTTCTCTGTTTTTCTCCTTCCTTCCAAATGCCTCCTACAAGTTTAATTTCTCTCTCATCTGAGCTCTTTGCTCTAAGTTTCAACATACTTTGTATATTTTTTTCCTCGATTAGATTTTTTTCTACTGAGTTTTTTCTACTAGACATGGATATGATTAGATAATGTCCAAGGAAAGTGTTACAAATATTAACTTATAGCCATTATCCTATCATCGCTCCACTATCCCCTTTCTCCATTATTTAATTTGATTTTTACAACTGTTCAGTCGGAACCGTGATCATCCTATTGGCACCAATAGATCAGATTCCAAATTATTCAAAATATGTCAAACATAATGTACATCATTGCCTAATTAATTAATAGAAATCCCACATGCAAGTCATTATTAAAACTTTTTCCTTGTACATCGTGCGTTGTTGCAGACTTGCAGATCGACTTGTAGCCCTCTATATAATTAAGCAATGTTGATAAAATGAATTACTATTGTACATGCATTGAAAATTGAAAAACTAAACAAAAAAGGATAGATATGGCACGGCTTTTGACAACGCTTGCTGTGCTTGTGGCTGTCTCTCATTCATGGCCTTGTAAAGAAGATGAAAGGCAAGAAATTGGCACCAGGTCCAAGTGGGCTTCCCCTTTTGGGACACCTTCACTTGCTTGGTAAAAATCCCCATCACGATTTGAACAAGCTAGCCAAACACTACGGTAAGAATGATGACAGTTATTCCTTCCAAATGCTCTGTCGGACCGGGATGGGGGACCCTTAGGGTTAGGATTCAATCTTTTGGAAAAAGAATGATGACATCTATTACCTTTTAGAAGTGAAGTGGCTTCCATTTTAATTGCTTTAATGTTAATTAAAACTATTTCGATAATTTATGAGATTGTGTGGAATCACAGTCTGACTTTTGATTGCCATAGATTTTAGTCTCCATACTGTTTTAGTGGCATTATAATATGTATACTCCCTTAATTAATTTGAACATATATGTTATTTGATTGCATATATTTTTGAGTACATTAAGATGTTGCTATAGAAAGACAAATTATTTTAAATTATGACATGAGCGATTAGTTCATTTTAGGCTAAATATGATGAGTCAAATTTGAAGTAATATAAATGTCAAATAGTAGTCTCCCTATTCACATGACTATTTTATGAAGCTATGTGTAAATGAAAATTTCCAAATTATCTATTTTAACAAAATTTGGCATACTGCTTATTATAAATATTCTCCCTTACATGTAGTACGTGGTGCAAAATTTAACATTTCCCAAGTTCGTGTTTTATAAATATGCAGTCTATTTTATTATAACACAATTATTGCGTATCTCTACAGGTTATCAAATAAAACTACGTATATATGTTGTTTATAAACCTCCATCTGTTATATAAATATATAGAGCCCATGATATGAGGATCATGTGATATGCTGACTGCATAATTTATGAATATCATTTCACGTCATTAGGTGGAAATATGAACCAAAATTATTTTGATTTTAAAATTTGAATCTCGAGAAATCCTTAAAAATACACATATTAGATTGACTGAACTAAAGGTCCAGTAGATTATTAATAAGGTTTAGTAGATTATTAATATCTGCCAAATATATAGTTATTGATATATCTATTGATTAATTATGTCTTAAAGACATTTCATGAAGAAGACGAAATACCTTGTGGTGCACCAAATAATTATAATACTAGGATGCTGAATGATCGACCAAATATGAATATTTTTGTGAAATGGCTATAATTTGGTTGATTTGGAAGTTGCCATAAATATTATGAATATAGAAGAAATTTATGAAAATGTTGTCGACAACACAATTGCCTTTATAATTGTTCAATCTAGATCCAAAGCTAATTAAGCACGAGAAGTACCACGATTATTTAGTATATAAAGGAGCAATGAAGGCATATATAACTCAGTTCGCTATTGTATTCTCTATATTATGTGTGCACACCATTGAATAGGTGTTGGTATGTACGAAAGAGAATAATGATATGTTTTGATATAAAGCGATGCTTAGAGCATATGGGTTTACACAGATACTCATAATTGATATGATAAATTCTCCCATAACATAAGTCATTAAGTTCCGCTGATTAATATCATTGGTAGTGAATAATATGCAATTGATAAATGTCATAGCCACATATTTATGAGTCATTGGACAGTGTATGATGGATGTCATGACGGCATACTGATAGGCCATTGGACAATATATTTGAAAAATCCGTGATGGATTTAAAGGTGCTCAAAATAAGAAATTATGAAAATCGCAACATGAAAAGTATTATGGTTTTTATATGACCTAAAACAATTGATAATTGACCGAGTATTTTTCTCCCTAAAGAAGGAATATATGTATATAATATGTGTCATTATGTACTCTTTAAAAGTTGCCGATGGAGTTATTATCCTCATGATGAAGGAATAATATGTATCATTATGTGCTAAATAAAGAGTTCCTAATAACGATATTTGTTTATCATATCAATCAGTATTGATAATATAAACATCAATGAAATATATAAAGAGTTTGATGATGTTAGCTCATGTCTAAAGACAGAGATTTTGAAGTAAAAATGCTTGGGAAAGCAAGTATTCTCTCGACTTGAAGATTGAGTATTTCAAAGGAATTTACACACTATTTAATCAATATATGATTTTGATTGGCTACTTAGACAAGTCAATATATAATGGGCTACTTGGGTAATAGCTATTATTATTGTATCCCTATGATATCAAGTCCAAAACTGGTTGTACTATATATTACTCCATTATTTTATAAGGGGACAATAAATTAAAGATTGTGTTGCACCAACAATAAGTGGATATAACTTTCAAAAATAATAATAATAATAATAATAATAATAATAATAATAATAATAATAATAAGTGGGTATATTATGAATTTTTGACAAGACACATATATAGTGGCATGATTCAACACACGTGAGCTCTAGAAGAGTCAAAAATTATTATAAAGTATATTCACCTCATTTACCGTTGAACATATTTGTTAACAAACTAAAATCCCTGTCTACATTTAGGAAATTTAATGTATAGGATTTGAAGAATGTTATCTTCAGGGAAAGTATCATTTTAATTTTTACATGAATCATGAAGTTTATGTTGGGGTTATGGTTGTATTTTTTTTTCTTTAGCTTAGTTTTTTCCTACTAAATTTGTTAAACTAAAGTTTTTAAAGAGACGTACAACCGGTGTAACACATGTTTTCACATACTTTGTGTTCTATTTTTCTCGATTAGAATTTTTACACGGGATTTTTTCTACTAGGCATGAATATGGTTAGATAATGTCCAAGGAGAGTGTTATAAATAATATTAAGTTAGAGCCATTATCCTATGATCTCTCCATTATTTAATTTGATTTTTACAACTGTTCAGTCGGAACCGTGATCATCCTATTGGCACCAACAGATAAGATTCCAAATTATTCAAAAAAATGTGCAACATATATAATGTACATCATTGGCTAATTAATTAAGAGAAATCGCACATGCAAGTCATTATTAAAACTTTTTCCTCGTACATCGTGCGTTGTTGCAGATCGACTACTTGTAGCCCTCTATATAATTAAGCAATGTTCTTCCCATTATACATGCATTGAAAATTGAAACACTAAACAAAAAAGGATGGATATAGCATGGGTTTGGACAACGCTTGCTGTGCTTGTGTCTGTGTCTCTCATTCATGGCCTTGTAAAGAAGATGAATGGCAAGAAATGGCCACCAGGTCCAAGAGGGCTTCCCATTTTGGGACACCTTCACTTGCTTGGTCAAAATCCCCATCACGATTTGAACAAGCTAGCCAAACAGTACGGTCCCATCATGCATTTGCGGTTCGGATTGGCTAACATGATCGTTGCTTCATCCCCTCAGGCTGCCGAGCTCTTCCTCAAGACACATGACCTTGTTTTTGCAAGCAGACCACCTCAAGAAGCAGCTAAGTATATCTCTTATGGTCAAATGAATTTGAGCTCTTGCCCATACGGGCCTTATTGGCGCAACATGCGCAAGTTGTGCACACTAGAGTTGCTTAGTAATCTTAAGATCAATTCATTTCAAGCCATGAGAAGAGAAGAGTTGTGTTATCTCATTGAATCACTCAAGCAAGCGGCTTTGGATCGTGTGGCTGTTGATTTGAGTTCTAAAGTTTCTGAACTAATTGCTGACATCAGTTGCAGGATGGTGTTTGGGAAGAAGTACGAGATGAAAGACCTTGATGAGAGGGGATTCAGGGGTGTGTTGAAAGAAGAAATGGACCTATTTGGTAAAGTAAATCTTGGGGATTATTTTCCTTTTCTTAGTACGCTTGACCTTCAAGGACTCACAAGACGAATGAAGGCTCTTGCCAAAACTTATGATAAGTTCTTTGAGAGGATTCTTGATGACCATGAACAAAGTGGACAAAGTGGAAGCAGTGATCAGACAAAGGACTTTGTAGATACTATGTTGTCCATCATGAAGTCCGGAGAAGCTGAATTTCAATTCAATCGTGAACACATCAAACCTACTTTGTCGGTAATTAGTTATTTATTTTTATTTTAATTTCATTTCAAATACAGTACGTATTTGTAAACAATCTTATTTCATCTATAACTATTAAAAATTGCATATGTGTAGGATTTGTTTGGAGCATCAGAGGCTATAACAATATTGATCGAGTGGATAATGTCAGAACTTTTGAGACACCCAGAAATAATGAAGAAAGTTCAAGAAGAATTGAAAAGTAAGATAGGTTTGGACAGGATGGTGGAGGAATCGGATTTGGAGGATTTAAAATATTTAGAAATGGTAGTAAAAGAATCCCTTAGACTTCATCCTGTGGCACCATTAATCCCTAATGAGGCAAGGGAAGATTGCATGATTGAGGGTTTTCACATACCAAAAAAATCACGAATCATCATAAATGTTTGGGCGATTACACATGATCCAAATGTGTGGACTAATCCTGAAAAATTCATCCCTGAGAGGTTTGAAGGGAGCAATATTGATTATCGGGGGCGACATTTTGAACTCATTCCTTTTGGCTCGGGTAGAAGAATTTGTCCAGGTTTGCAGCTTGGAATAACTTTGGTTCGATTAGTAGTGGCACAACTACTACACTGTTTTGATTGGGAATTTCCAAATAGTATGCCATATGAAGAGTTGGACATGACTGAACAATTTGGTCTTCTGGTGTCTCGTGCGAATCACTTGATAGTTATTCCTAACTATCGATTACATATTTAAGTGAATTAGTGTTAGAACGCTCTTTTCATTACATAAATAAGGAGAATACCAAACTTCTTACAAAGCTTGTAGCCAAAAGCCGAAAGCCAAAAGTCGTCAACGTCTCCACTTTCTAAATTTTCTTATTTAAAATCTATGTTGTGTCTTGTGTAAGGTCTAGATATAGCGAATGCTAAAGAATGCTCAGTTTCCAATTCATCCAAATGCAAGGAGTGTGCCTTGCTGAAATGCTTTTGGAACTATGTGTACTCCGTTAATGTTTGCTTGCATTATTATATATTATATAATAAAATAAAACTCTATCATATCCTTAGTGTTGACTGGTTTGCATGTTGTAACAACCACTAAGTCCCTTGATTGAATTATTTCACCCTTAGCTTTAATACGTGCACTATATTAACAGGGTTGAGATTTTTGTTTAAGAATAAACAGTGTTTGACACTGTGCTTAATTAATTTATAGTAAAAAACATTTTTTGTCTTACACTTATAGTGGCACGGACAATTTTAGTCCTCCATAAAAAAAACCAGACAATTTGTAGACACTCTTATTGTGACAAAAAATATTTTAATCCTTCGTCGCTCTTCCCGTTTGAGATCAGAGGGGGTATTTGGGTCTTTTCAGCATATCAATTCAGTCTCAGACCTTTGAAACGACGTAGTTTAAGTTTGGTGACAACAAATGTCTATCTTCTGATGCAGAGCCATTACCTTCCACCACAACTTCTCATTCAGAAACAAGCATTCCAGGTGGCAGTTTTGCTCCATTAATTCTCGATATTTTTTCTCCAGGATAAGTAATGCTTCTTCTCGTCTCCCCTTTGCGCATAAAAACCTCGGTGATTCAATTGTGAAACCGTAGAACAAAAGAAGCAATGAAGAGGGTACGGAAGAAAAGGCAAGTAGCCATCTCCAGCCCAGTTTTGGCATGACAACCTGCAATAAGCAGAAGTACGTATTGGATATTAAAGCTACTCTTTTTTCCAGTTAAACACGAGGATATTAAAGCTAAGTAATTTATCTTTTGAGAAAATAACAGGGAAAAAAACATCATATGCATGATATCGAGATGCCTTATAAGATAATTTGCGTACTTATTGCACGAGAAAGTGTGGAAGAAACTCATTAGTATATTTTCTTGAATGAAAAGTGAAAAAAGAATAATCCCACCAATGCTTAGTGAAGCAGCACATCTGTTGGTCGTGGTACTGTAAGAACCCAAAATTTCATTTTATAATTCGGTATTAAGAAATTTCAAAACAGTTTTTTTCACTCCATTAAAAAAATTTCCCGATCAATCGGTGCTTGAATAAAATATTTTCGTCACATTTTGAATTTATTCGACACCAAAAATTTATTCTATTTCGAGAATTCCTAAATTTCGGGTACTTCGCGTACCAAGATTTTAATCGAGAGATTTATCTGAGTGAGACCGGGAGTATTTGAAAAGATTTTTAAACAAGGGTTTATCTAAATAGCTGTTTGAGAAAATTCATTTTCAACCCCGAAGTATTTAAAATAGCATTTCTAGCCTATGGTTCATGTTGCACGGTGGACCACTAGACATCTAAATCCCTTTCCTCATTCATCTTCCAGCTTATGAAATTACTTCTTTGCCCTCAACCAATCATTAATGATCAACCTAGGGTTTTGAACCCTATATAAACATCATTATTCCATCTTGATTCCCTGATCTCTTTCTTTGCCTCTCCACACATTTTGTCTGCTAAGAAAGGGGGAGAAAACAACATCACAGTAAGTTCATCTCCTTCTTCAATCCAAGCTTTCATTTCATTTCTAGTTTCTTTTAATCTTTGGGACTCTATGCTAAGGTTGTATGATGTATGGGAAGTATAGGTGGTGAAGGAGGCCCAAGCTAGATAGAGTGGAAGAAGAGATCCAAGCTAGAAGAAAGGCTACAAGAGGTATAACCCCATGGATTCCTCTTTAAAATTTAGCTCTGTGAAGCCTTAGCTTTGAGTAGAAATGAGTAGCAACTATGAGATTTTGTTGTCTTTATGCTTAGAAGTGATTTAGTATTTGTTTGTGAGTTGTTGAGATTGTTTTAGACTTGTTTGGATTGTTTTTAGCAGATGAAAAACCTTCTGGTGCACAACACAGTGTGCACCAGATCAGAGTCACGGCCCTAGCCGCGGCTCATCAGGAGGGCCGCCGGCTGGAGCCGTGGTGGAACGAGACTAGGGCACAACCCTAGAGCAGGGCCGCCGCCTAGTCCCGATGGAGTGACGGGATGCAAGAGGCGGATCAGGAGGAGTCCCGACCCAGGTCCCTGACTTTGGTTCTGAGGAGAATCTGTGCAGTGGCCGGGCCCTTGTGGCTCCGCTAAGTGTTGTTTCGGGCCGAGTGTTACAGGCCCTTGTGGCTCGGCTCTTCGGGACCGTCTTGATGCACGTTTTGGCTTTGATTTCGTTGAATTTGGATCTAAAATGAGTATGTTATGAAGGTTTTAGTGGAGATTTGCTACACAGAGTATATGTTTGCTAGTTCACTGTGTATGATGAGTTATCTGACTAAGTGTTCTGATGATGTTTTTGTTGAGTAAAGAAGCATGATCATTTGAGAATATGTTTTATTATGAAAGCATGACTAGATTGGGAATACTTGATCAAGGTGAAATGGAGTACATTTTGTTTATAGAATGAATAGAATTTGCTAAGTTGCAAACCAAGCATGATGATATATTCTTGAGTATTTCATGGTTTATATACATGATTTAGAAGCATGTTATAGAGAATTTTGGCATTTCACATAAGTCATATTTCAAAAATGCATAAGGGCCACCGTGAGTCCGAGTATTATTTTCGAAAATCATGAGCATGTGTATATCGTTATTTGATGCATTTGAGAAGTAGAAAAGTTGTTGCATGCATAAGATTGATGCATGAGAGATATATTATGTATTATCTATATTGGTGAGGTTTTGGAGGATACCGTTTGGACTATGTCCTCTCGTGAGATATTTATGGACATTGCGGTCCCAGATGTATGTAACGTTGCGTATTCCCATGTTACAAGGTTGGAAACTGTCCGCCAGGCTTGGAATCCGGGTAGGGGGTGTGCACACTGAAAGTTCGATACCTGATTCCACAGCGCGCGAACCACGAGATTGGTTCCGTAGACAGTAGAAGATATCGAGTCGGATTTACACAGTTCCTGATGGGGGCAACTCACGCTACGGTGAAACCCTGAGCCGTCTACGAGCGAAAAGAGAAAGAAAGTGAGTAGATTCTCACGAGAAAGAAAGCGAGTCTAGATAGTCTCAAGAGAAAGAAAGTGAGTAGATTCTCACGAGAAAGAAAGCGAGTCTAGATAGTCTCAAGAGAAAGAAAGTGAGTAGATTCTCACGAGAAAGAAAGCGAGTCTAGATAGACTCAAGAGAAAGAAATTGAGTAGATACTCACCAGACCTCCACAGAAAGTACTCTATTTTTACAACGAGTGTACATGAGTATATATATATATATATATATATAATATATATATATATATATATATATATATATATATATATATATATATATATATGCATGAGTATATTGTTGCATGAGATTGCATATGAGAATGAGTATATTGTTGCACGAGATTGCATATGAGTATGAGTATATAGTTGCACGAGATTGCATATGAGCATGAGTATGCCCATTATATGGTTTATTAGCATGATCCTATCTGTAAGTATGAAATTTTTGATAAGTATTTGAGGAATTATAATGTTGTGAACCTAAGTGAATAGTCTTATGTCTATGAGCTTGCTAGTTGATATTATAGGGTGCAAGCATCTAGAAAGTACTTGATAGATCTAAAGATGTATATGAGATGATGGGTTTGTTGTATACCTGCGAAATCAAATGTTTTCAAAGTATACTCTATAGTACGTTACAGGGTTGAGTGTGGTTATACTTAGCTTCGTGCTAACGAGTGTTTTTCCTATTTGTCTATTTGTTGCTTGCAAAACCCCTTTCAGGTGGACCCAGCAGTGTGACGAGATCGAGTTAGATTAGTCTTGTAGATAGAGATATCTAAACTCTAGTTTATTGTGGATCTTTGTTATGGATTTAGACTTATTTTGATATTATGGTTTCGAGGATGATGTAGACTTTTGAGGTGATGTTTTTCCCCCTTATGTTTCGTTTTTTTTATGATGGATGCCAGACATTTACTTAATTTATAGTTTTACCCCTTAGCCTGTGCAATCACCACGGAGTGGTGGTTGTGGCGGTGACACTCCCACTAATTGTTTATTAGTTATTTCCGCTGCTTAGTGTTGGTAATGACTGTTTAGAGCTATAATTAAGAGTTAGAAAAGTGGGGTGTTACAAATTGGTATCAGAGCGGTACGAACCACGGGAGACTTGGGAAGTTTGAGCCTTAAGATTGAGTATAGAAGCTCTAAGTAAAGGTCCTGGAAAGGATAAGTTAAAGAAAGATATCTAAGTTGAAGTCTTAAGGAAGACTAGATAAAAAGAGAACTTTAAGTGGAAAGCCTAAGAATGGTAAGGTTAGGGAAAGAGCCCTAAGTTAAGAAGATTGAGATAAGAAAGACTCTAAGTTCAGTGGCTAAGTATGAGAATCAAAGTTAAGAGAAACTCTAAGTAACGGTTAGGAACGCGGTGAGGTCGTGAGTTCCTTTGTGTTTGCTTATATGTTTTGTGCTTTATCAATGTGTTTAAAGTGCTTTTATATATCTTTTGATAGTGAAGTAGAGAGGTTTTCAGTGAAGAGTTAAGGTGAAAGTTGAAAGTTTGAAAATGAAAGCCTTGTAAAGAGTATAAGAGTTTATACTTGTGCCTTGCTTATGTGATTTATCATTGTGCTTGTTATGCCTTGTTATCTGTTCCGAGTAAAGTAGAGCATAAAGTGAGAAGTTGAAAGAGAAAAAACAAGAGTTTGTGAGTTAAAGCTTAGAAGAGAATTCGGTTTGTTAAGTTGTTAAAGTAGATGAGAAGAGATGCCGTGTTGCGTTGAATGATTTGCTTGTTGCAAGTTTGTCTTAAGAATAGAGAAGTTAGAGTCAGCTAACTTATTAGTTGTGCTAACAAGAATGATCTGTTCTGGTCATGCACTAAGGGTTTTGCGATGCCGTCGCGAAGAGTTAGAGAAGAATCTCCTCGCTCCTCAGGACCTGGAGCGTCGTCATCTACGGATTTGACTAAGAGTCTGCGCCAGCTCACCCAGTTGACCTAGACCATAGGAGCTGCCATACTCAACGGGAGTAACGGTGGCGGTGTTGTGTCCAGAAAGATC